ACTCACGTGTCCGCCTGCCTGGCCAAAGTCAGCGACGACCCGCGTCGCGGCCGTGGCTGCTTCTGCCGAAAAGTAGTATAGTCCGTGCGCGTAAAATGATTCCTTCCATATCGCTTTCTTTTTACACCTCCCCGTCCGTCCCGCAGAGGTGCGCCTATCACCTTACCGCCGTGCTTCCGACCTCCCGCGTGTCCTTATCAGTACGGGGCCCATGCCCGGCACAAGGTGCAGTTTGTGGAAACGGTATTTGCCGCACCCAACAGTGCACAGGGCCTCGGCGATGTGTCGAGTTCAGTGTGTGTGTGGGTCGGCGTCCCCTTGGCCGCGACTGCGGAGCACCTGCGGCGTCCCTCCAGGAGGCACGTGGGAGTCCGCGCCGGGCGTCCCCATCCGCTGCAAGCGGTGCACCCAATACAGCGCACAGCCCGCGTTCGTGTCCTTGGCGTATGGTGTTGCGTAGCACCTTGCGAGCGAATCAGCGGCGGCGTCCGAGAGAGAGAGAGAGAGAGAGAGAGACAAAAGCTGTCGGGTAGTGTAATAAGTCGCGGACGACGCCTTTAAGGACGCCCCCGCCCCCCTCACCTCTGGGGTTTATGGCCGTAGCCACCGGTAGCGCGCCCCGCGGCGGGCCCGCGCAGCCCACATCGCGAAAAATAAATCCCAGCGAGATACGAACGTCGCGCCCCGCGCCGCCCCGGTGCCGCAAACACGGCCCTCGCATCCCGTGTTTGCTGGTTTAGTTTGTCCGACCGGCTCTGGCGCTCTGGCTTATGGAGCAGATTGTTTCGCCTCTCTACCATCCTAGGGAGGCGTGGAGAACGGGACTCCCGGACGCCCGATGCTTTTCATGGGAAGTAGATACGTCTCGCCCCCTGCCCTGGGTACTCCCTACACTTTGAGACCGTCATCGTCCAGAAAGTACGTTTCCTTCGATTCATTCGGCAAAAAATGATGGGAGCTCGGCGCCTGTGAAACTCTGGGTGGGCCACCCCGCAGTACACGCGCGCACAGCAGGAGACATGTTGCCTACCCATCAGGCGCCATGAGAGCGAGAGCCCTGCTAAACGTGGCAGGTTCGTCACGACGAATGACGTACCGGACGTACTTTCTGGCTGATCTCTTTGCCTGTACTGCACTGCCTCCGCTCCCATGGGGGCGCAGGAAGCGCAGCGCGCCCGCTGCTCTGCTTGGGAAGTGCTTTGGCGGGCCGCCTAGCCTGGCCGGTGGCCGGGCCGGGCGGGCACCGCACGACTACCGGCCGCCGGCCGCCCGGCCCGCACTGCCCCGGCACCGCAAGACTGGGCGTGGGTTAACGACGCACCGCGTCGGGAAGTCACAAGCGCGTTCCATTTTCGTCAAGTGGGAGGAAGACAAAAGGCAGCACCGCATCTGCCTTGTGTGAGTCTCTCTGTGTGTGTAGTTTGTGTGTACGCCTCCGAGGTGGAAGAGTGGACGGGCTCGACGCTTAAAGCCCTGAGTAGCGGATGGCGCTTTGCTAGTAGCGGCGGCCCTTTCGTCCCATGCTTTGGTTTGTTGCCGACGTCGCTGTCGCCCTGCCCGGCGTCATGTATCACGCTGGCCACAACGTGAACCACAACAACAGTCCAGACTAGAGGTCCAGACCACGGTGACGGTCGCCGCGCCGAAAGGAAGTGCTCCATTGGTCTCATCGCAAGGCCAGGCCGGCGGGCCCGGCTGGACCAACGCTGCGTTTGGTCTCGGGCGGGGCGGGGGCGGGGCGGAGCGGGGCCGGTACGGAAGAAAGGTCCCCATCGGCGGCACCAACCCTACTCAGCGTCACCTGCTGAGTATTCCCTGTGGATATGAGGATCTCCCACCGTGTGCTGTTACCGTGATGAAGAGGGACACGATCCGATAGGATCCTGGCAGCGTGTGACTTGCGCACAGCCTGCATCTACAGATGCGTGGAGGTGAATCGAGGTGAATGCATGAGTCTGTGCAGAGGATTGGCACCGCGCGCTCATAGTGATCCAATCCCACATGATTTAGGTCCGTGGCGAAGCCCAAATCGCGTAACTAAATCGAGGGATCACTGTATAAGCACAGGGGATATTAGCCCGCATCCAGGCCTGCGGGCGGCAGATCTGTCGATGGTCAGGTTACTCGTGCACTGTAAAACAAAGGAAAAAGCATTATACATTTGAAAGGGTAATTACGATTTAATGCCCTTGGAAAGGCACACAAATGTTCAAAGCTTTTCATGCCTTTGCTTTGTTTTTTCCGCAGTGTGGCGTGGCGCCTTACGGCTTGAGCCGAGGTTTGA